AATTCGAAAAGTCCAAAAAATTTCAACATCCTTAGAATCCTAAAAACTCCAAAAAATCAAAAATTCGAAAAATTCAAATTTTTTCTAAAATTTCAAAATTTCGAAAATCCCAAATTTCCAGGTATTATAATCTACCGTGCTGCCTATTTTGGAATGTTTGACACCACAAAAACCCTATTCACTCCCGACGGTCAACAATTAAACTTCTTCAAATCATGGGCGATTGCTCAGATAGTTACAGTATCCTCAGGAATCCTATCGTATCCTTGGGATACGGTAAGACGGAGGATGATGATGCAATCGAATCGAAAAGACGTTTTGTATAAGAATACAATGGATTGTTTGAGGAAAATTTTTAAGGATGAGGGACCGATGGCACTATATAAAGGAGCACTTTCGAATGTCTTCCGTGGGACTGGTGGAGCATTGGTGTTGGCGATTTATGATGAAATTCAGAAGCATATTTAATTCTTTTTTTTTTTTTGGAGAATTCTCAAATTCTAATTTTTGAATAAAATTGATTTTATGATTAAAAAAATACATTTTAAGTCATAAATTGAGAATTTTGGGGTTTATTTCATCAATAATCTCTTGAACAACGAACTGAATGTCTTCTTTTGTTTTGATTTAAAATGTCGCGGTTCTAAAACGTCGCGGTTCTAAAACGTCGCGGTTCTGAAATGTCGCGGTTCTAAAGCGTCGCGGTTCTAAAATGTCGCGGTTCTAAAACGTCGCGGTTCTGAAATGTCGCGGTTCTAAAACGTCGCGGTTCTGAAATGTCGCGGTTCTAAAGCGTCGCGGTTCTAAAATGTCGCGGTTCTAAAACGTCGCGGTTCTAAAATGTCGCGGTTCTAAAATGTCGCGGTTCTAAAACGTCGCGGTTCTAAAATGTCGCGGTTCTAAAATGTCGCGGTTCTAAAACGTCGCGGTTCTGAAATGTCGCGGTTCTAAAACGTCGCGGTTCTAAAATGTCGCGTTCTAAAGCGTCGCGGTTCTAAAATGTCGCGGTTCTAAAACGTCGCGGTTCTAAAATGTCGCGGTTCTAAAACGTCGCGGTTCTAAAATGTCGCGGTTCTAAAATGTCGCAATTCTAAAGCGTCGCAGTTCTAAAATGTCGCGGTTCTAAAACGTCGCGGTTCTAAAATGTCGCGGTTCTAAAACGTCGCGGTTCTAAAATGTCGCGGTTCTGAAACGTCGTGGTTCTAAAATGTCGCAATTCTAAAACGTCGCGGTTCTGAAACGTCGTGGTTCTAAAATTTCGCGGTTCTAAAATGTCGCAGTTCTAAAATTTCCCGGTTCTAAAATGTCGCAATTCTAAAACTTAGCGGTTCTGAAACGTCGTGGTTCTAAAATTTCCCGGTTCTAAAATGTCGCAATTCTAAAACGTCGCGGTTCTAAAACGTCGTGGTTCTAAAATGTCGCAATTCTAATACGTCGCGGTTCTGAAACGTCGTGGTTCTAAAATTTCGCGGTTCTAAAATGTCGCAGTTCTAAAATTTCCCGGTTCTAAAATGTCGCAATTCTAAAACGTCGCGGTTCTAAAACGTCGTGGTTCTAAAATTTCCCGGTTCTAAAATGTCGCAATTCTAGAACGTCGCGGTTCTAAAACGTCGTGGTTCTAAAATGTCGCAATTCTAAAACGTCGCGGTTCTGAAACGTCGTGGTCTAAAATTTCGCGGTTCTAAAATGTCGCAGTTCTACAATTTCCCGGCTGTAAAATGTCGCAATTCTCAAACGTCGCGGTTATAAAACGTCGCGGTAGTCAAATGTCGCGATTTTAAAACTTAGCGGTTGTGAAACGTCGTGGTTCTAAAATTTCGCGGTTCTAAAATGTCGCAATTCTAAAAAGTCGCGGTTCTAAAACGGCATATATCGGTATTGATAGCACACCCTGGGCGCTGCTAGAAAAACTTTATACGTTTGTCATTCCCAGATTGATGGCATACTTAATCTCTTCGGGTCACAAAGTTATCAAAAATGGTTTGTGTTCAGGCTCATTTTGATGACAATTTCATGCTAAACTTGAATTTTGGTTTCAAATTGACAAAAATCTATCTCTGAAGGTCCCAAAACATCTGGAGACAGTAAGACGAGACGCAGTGAAACTTTAAGGGAGAAATTGGGCACCGTTTGGTGAATAGGGCGGCGAGAGAGCATTGCTTTTCAGGAGAGAGACAGGGAAAGAGAGAGGAAAATGGTCAACTGAGTAGCTACAAGGCTATGTGTATGGTTGTCTATTGATTTTCTTTATATTGTGAGTTTTCTTTTTTTTCAGAATTTTCTAGAAAATGAAATCCTTCATTTTCAGATAGTTTTCACCATGACTTCGTGTGTAGAAGTCTCCTTTTTTCATTGATTTTTCTAGAAATGTGAGTTTTTCGTTGAAAAAATTGAAATTTGAAGTTTGTTTTTCAGATAACCCCTCCCCCCCCCCTTTGCGCATAGATGCCTACTTTTGGTCTGAAAATTGTGAGTTTTTTTTGGAATTCCGAGAATATTTTTTGAAAAATCCAAAAATCCCAAAAAAATATATAACTTTTAAAATTTGGTCAAATTTTTGGGTTTTTTTTTGGAAATCACCCAATTTTTGAAATTTCGCAATAGTTGGAGATTTTTAATTATTTTTTGAGTTTTCTGAAATTTCTAGGTTTGAGAACTTTGAAATTTTGTTAAATTTTAACAAAATTGCTGAAAGTTTCTGTTTTATTTGAATATCTTTACTATTAAAGGTGGGGGGGGGGGACAGGAGAATTTACGGGGGATTTTTGTAGCTAGAGTATGCATTCTACCGTCACGGTGTACAACGCTTAATGTCACTCTGCGTACAGCTGTCGTCCTCGCCTTTATGTATGCAATCGGGCGTGCGCTTTCTCTTTGCCCGCGTGGCTCAGTCGGTAGCGGCGCCGCACCCTCAATCATCGCTCTAACAAGTTCAACTCCTCGAGGAGCATATTTAAAAGGATTTTCGAGGACATTATTTTTTCATGTCCCCCCACCTTTAATCATTTTTGAAAAATTTGCTCCGTAGAAACAGAATAACGTCTCCAGATGACGTCAGAAAAAAACATTTGAAAAGTAAAATAGTCGGGCATCATCTCGCTGCTATTTCGGGTCATCTGCGAAAATTTGAGAAATTTTGGTGTATTAGTGACTTCTCTAAGGTAGGCGTTACGGGGACAAACGGACACACTCACACACAGAATTTGGTGATTGTTAAAGGTGGGGGGGGACATGAAAAAAATAATGTTCTCGAAATTCCGTTCAAAGATGCCTCTCGAGGAGTTGAACTTGTGAGGGCTATGATTGAGGGTGCGGCGCCGCTACCGAATGAGCCACGCGGAGCTACCGACTGAGCCACGCGGGCAAAGAGAAGGCGCACGCCCGATTGCATACATAAAGACGAGGATGACAGATGTACGCAGAGTGACATTAAGCGTTGTACACCGTGACGGTAGAATGCATACTCTAGCTACAAAAAAACTACGAAAAATCTCCTGTCCCCCCCCCCCCACCTTTAATAGTAAAGATATTCAAATAAAACAGAAACTTTCAGCAATTTTGTTAAAATTTAACAAAATTTCAAAGTTCTCAAACCTAGAAATTTCAGAAAACTCAAAAAATAATTAAAAATCTCCAACTATTGCGAAATTTCAAAAATTGGGTGATTTCCAAAAAAAAACCCAAAAATTTGACCAAATTTTAAAAGTTATATATTTTTTTGGGATTTTTGGATTTTTCAAAAAATATTCTCGGAATTCCAAAAAAAACTCACAATTTTCAGACCAAAAGTAGGCATCTATGCGCAAAGGGGGGGGAGGAAGGGGTTATCTGAAAAAGCAAACTTCAAATTTCAATTTTTTCAACGAAAAACTCACATTTCTAGAAAAATCAATGAAAAAAG